TTTCAGAAAAGACACTTAACCGCCTGCGGAGTATTCATACGGCAAAGGAGGAAGAAGAGAAAGACGTGATGACTTGAACAAGCAGTTTATTGGCCTGACGCCTAGGATTCCCTTTATCGAACCCAGCATCAGAGACAACCACCGCACAGGGTAATAGGGGCAAAAGCTGCGCAATACTTATAGGGCGCAGTTGGCTAGTAGATTATTTAACAGCACTCGTGTTCATCGTCGGGGGTCGCAGTTGATATGATGATTACTAGTCGGTCCGTACCCAAGTCGTTAATTGCCGTAATTTCGTTACCATGGACACTTCGTGGCGTGACGGTTACTGTGCACTTTTCCTCACTGTCGCCGTGACTGCTAGTCACTCACATCCTCCCCACATGGCTAGTTATTTTGGCCAGAAAAAATCGCAGTACAGAATGTGGAAGTGGAGGGCCATTCTATTTGTTGCTTGAAGGCAGGTCGGAGAACCATGACTCAAGCAGCTCACGACTCACGTACCTATTGCAAGAATTTTGGACTCATCGGCCTTAAAGTACCCGTCGGATGAGCCGTGATCCGGGCGTTGGCGTCATTTTCTCCTCACAGCAGTGAAGATGGGTTCGACTGAGAATCAGAAACATCAGACCAAGAAGCTTCTTGTTCCAGTGATTACATCTTCTTCTGAGCTGTTTTCTTGGAAGTCGCCTTTCGCTTTTATCAGCTTCATACGACGTGAGCGACTACGCACAATCCTAGAATCAGTTCGCTTGAATCCTACTCGCCGCTGGCATAGACAGGGGAGGAGAGTGAGGCCGATTCAGTGTGTAGTTTTATCACCATGAGCAACCAAGTACGATTTGAAACTATGAAAACGTGCTAACAGCCATGGTTTGGAAGGCCGGTAGCCAACCGGATGATTCTGTTCTACTTAGGACAGGCGACTGGCTGTACTGGATTGTTGTAAATGACTGTCTTGCGGCTTTTGGGGAGTTCGTTTGATGCTTTGTTGGGTACACAGACGTCGTCAACGTATCACGAAAAACCAGACACTCCTTATTGACACACCCTTTTTAAAACTATCTCACTGGTTTAACCGTAACCGGAGTTAAATAGCCTCTAAATAAGGATTTACCACGAACTAGCCTACGTACCCCGAGGATAGTACTGTTGCATGACTCGTCATTTTTGAGGCCTGAGAACTTTCTTGTTCAACAGCGAAGGCCATTATACTGTTCAAAACCGGTGTACACATAGACGAGCTTGCAGCCAGACCGAGTCTTCCCGGAGTTATTGTGATCTCTTTTTTGCCTTCCAAGGCCTTTTATGGCTTATCAAACGTTTCTATTTCCATTTATAGGCCAGAAGAGTACTATGTCGTTGTTGCCCTCGCAAAGGATCTCGTTCTTAACCCACGGAGCTGTTCTGCGGGCTTACTAAAGACTTATCGGGTGTCCCCGACTGGCGATAAATTGGAATTTGTCCACGACACACAGGTGGACGAATTCCCCACCGCTCTGTGCGCCTTCAAGGGCCGCCTGCTGGCTGCGGTTGGTCATCGCCTGAGGCTGTACGACATGGGCAAGAAAAAGCTACTTAAAAAGTGTGAGAATAAGGTAAATACAAGCACACCTACTCATTATTAACGAGTAGACATGTTTTGTTTAAAGGGTATTTCATAGAAAGTACGTTCCACCACTAGTGCGGAGGTTTTTTCTTTTCAGCATTTCCCCAACCTCATCAACGGCATTTACAGCGTGGGCAATCGCGTCATCGTCACCGATGTACAGGAGGGTGTTTTCTGGGTGCGCTACCGCCCGCGATCTGATAACCAATTAGTCATCTTCGCTGACGACGCTAGCCCCCGATGGATCATCCATCTCGCCGTGTTGGACCAGTGCACGGTGGCCGTGTCGGACAAATTCGGCAACATTGTTCTCCTACGTCTACCCGCCAACGCAAACGACGAGATTGAGGAGGATCCGAGCGGTAATCGTTCGCTCTGGGACAGAACGGCCCTCGGCGGTTCTAGCCAAAAACTGGAGGTGGGTTCCCCATATGTCTATGCGCTTGTGTGTATGCCTCGCTCTCTCCCCCTCTCTCCCTATGTATATATGTCTTCGTATGATTGCCCCTGCAATTTATGGTACTCTCAGAAGTGTGGGATCTGACCCGCCCATCCTTAATGTGTGTGACACGCGTAGACAGGCCGTTCAGTTTTGTCAGCCACTCCGCGTGACCTAAGCATCAGTTGTGTGACCGGCTTGGACAGTCGGCTGGCGGCTTGGAGGGGAACTAGAAAGGGCGGTCAACTCTCATCACATACTCCACGCTTCTAGCGATCCGACGCGCTTCACTAA